TGTAATAAATAAGTAAATTATATACTAGTGTATTTTAAAGTTACAGGTATGGGGGAGGTGAGAGGACATGAATCATATAAGGTAGCTCATGAGTGCTGGCTAAGAAAGTATGGCTTGATTTAACTAGAGAGGTCAAGTGTGCCTCTGATGAAGTGACATTTGAGCAAAGAGAAAGAAGTGAGATAGCGAGCAACAGATCTGCTGGGATTGTGTCCCAGGTGATGCACAGACCCTCAGGGAATCGTGCCTGGCATGTTCAGGCAATAATTAGCAATGTGGTCAGTGTCCCTGGAGGAAAGAGAAGGGGAGAGAGAGAGAGATTAATAAGTAAAACTAGAGACACAAATGGGAAAGGAGGGACAAGTTGGATACTTAAATTTAACCATTCCATGCAATGTGTTAGACTTTGGGGGAAAGTTTTTCATCCGTAGTAAACAATTACTTATAAGAAGATGCAGAAAGCATGAGTTTTGGAGTATAACAGACTGGAGTTAGACTTGTGTAATTCTGGGCAAGTTATTTCCTTCTCTGAGCCTCAACTTTTCATCTGTAAAGTGGGGCAAAAGTTGCAGGGACATTTATAATGAATGTGGATAAGGTGCCAAGAACAATGTCCGGCACACAAGCCAGAGCACAATAAATAGCACTGAGCTCTGAGAATAGCACAGAACTACTCCTTCGGCTCATCTATAGCATTGCTGTGAGGGACTGGTTTTGAACTTCAGTGGTAACTGGGTGTCCATATTATTTAACTCAGAGCAGTAACTCAGGTAATGTGACTTGTCTGTCATTGCGTCTGTTGACTTGACTGTAAATCAAATGAGATTCAAAATATATCCTGGGAGCTTTCATATACCTTGTACCATTTTCAATCATAAATGTTGCTTCACTCTTGTGTTAGAGCAAAAAGGTGACTTTAAAATTAGTGACATTTTCATGAAGTGTAGAACTAGCTATTACTGACTTGACTGAAGGTATTTGTAGCTGACAATTACAAACTAAAGTGATATGATTGCAAGTGTCTGGGTTAAAGAGTGTGATTAGTCCTATTCTATGAACTTGAATCCCAGTGTTGTGCATTTGGAGATAATGAGGCACTCTTCCATGATTCAAGTTCAAGCCTTCTTACTTCCTGCCCAGTACTTCACAATAAACATGTTTCTTCTGCTTTGGTACTCTACACTTTTCCAACTTCTCCTGCACACAGCTTACAAAAGAGTTACTCTAGAGCAAAACCTGGCTCACACCAGTCATTTGCTCCAAAAATTCCCACTGTGGCTCACTGCAAAACTGAGGACTCTTCTTAGAGAGACAAACCTCTCCAATTTAATTGTCTCACAAAGCAAGAAACATCAGTTCCATCTTTTCTGGTGTATTTTTTTTTTAAAATGCCCTAACTGGTTTCTTAGAGAAATCATTGATTCTAAATTTGGGGCAGGAAATATATACCATGAGCCTGGAGCATCTTGTAGGGCCAGAAAGTAAGGAAGTAATTGTGGTATGTCAAAGGAACAAAGAAGCCAATGAAAGAGCTCACAATCACCAAAACTGGAACATATTGAGCAACAAAGTAATTACCATAATATTGGATTATAATGCAAAGTATTAAATATCTATGTGTCTATACTGATATAAATGGTTCAATCAGTGAATAAGTAGGGTAGAAGAGACAAATCTCTCATGCAGAGGAATTCTGAAGAATTTTAATAAATACTGTAATCTCAAGAAAGTGGAGTATTATTTTCCACTCCTTAAGTGTGGACTGCATACAGTGACTTCCTTTCAAAGAATGTAATGTGGAAAGGGGAGGGGAAAATAACTTCACAGTAAAGAAAACTAACAAGCACTACCTTTGCCAAGTGACCAAGGTCAACATCAATGGTGATATGTCATGTTGATAGTACCCTTAAGATGATATGATGAGAATGGCACTTTACCTCTGTGGCCTTCCTCCAAAAACACATAACCTCAGTGTAATCATGAAAAAATCTTCAGAAAACTCCCAGTTTAGGAACAGTCCAAAAAATACCTGACCAGCCCTCCTTAAAACTGCCATAGTCATCAAAAAGCAAGGAATGTTTGAAATTATAACAGCCAAAAGGAGCCTTAGAAGATAAGACAACTAAATATAATAGGGTATCCCTGATAGGACCCTAAAACAGAAAACTACATTAGGTACATGCTAAGGAAATTGGAATAAAGCCTATACTTTAGTTATAACAATATATCAACATGACTCATTAATTATAGCAAATGTCCCATACTAATGTAAGATGTTAATAAAAGGGGAATAAAAATAGGAAATAATAGTGTGTGGTGTATTTGGTCACTCTCAGTACTATCTTCACAAATTTTTTAAAAAACTAAAACTGCTCTAAAGTAAAAGGTTGCTTTTTCTTAAATAAAAAAAGTCTTAGATTCTCACATTAGTTCAATGCTTCTTTCTCATCAGCATCTGTTGAAGCCCTACCTTTCAACTTATAATGTAAGAAGCTTTCCAGATTCCTAAAAGAAAAACAAAATGGTTCTTCCATTCCACCTATGACCACAAAACTTGATACTTACTTTAATATTAATTTTAGTTAATTCACGAATTCATTCAGTCATTCAACCAACAGTTAAAGATCACATACACCAGCTGGTGCTGATAAGGTTGTGAGGGGACAGGCAATGACCCTGACCCCCAACTAAGCTTACGGTCTGACTAGGAGAACAGACATGAATAACTAAGTATGAGGAAATGTGTAGGGTGCTAATAGAATGAACAATGGAGGAAGTGAGAGGACCATCTTTAAGGAACTGACCTTTGAGATGAGCTCTAAGGAGAGTTCACTGGGCAGATGCATTTGTGTTTGAGTTGTTGTACACATGTTAACTTGGTTTGCACTCACACAGCCCTGAGATTCAAGTGTTATTATTCCCATTTTGCAGATGAGGAAACGGAGGCACTCAGATAATAAGTGACAGATCAGAGATACAAACTAAAACAAGCTGGTTAGAAAGCCTGAGTTCTTCCCTTTCATTGAGGGAACTAGAATTAGTCTATCCCAAATCAGGGACTCTTGTGAGGTTTCTTTCTTGTTAGACCAGGGTTCCTTGACACTATTTATCTTTGGGGCAGATCATTCTTTGCCATGTAAAGCCATCCTGGACATTGTGGATATTTAGCTTATCCCTACTCTCCATCTACAAGATGTCAGTAGCACCCCGTTTTCACCAGTGATGGCAAACAAAAATGTCTCCAAACTGGCCAAATATTATTGGGGGGAGGAAGCAACACTTCACCCCACCCCTACTACATTGAGAACCATTTTATTACACAAGTTCTCAGAGGAAAGGATAAAGCTGTATCTTAAGTTGTCTCTCCTTTTTTCCAATGTTTCCCAAGTGTCCATATGTGTCTTATGTGTATATGGAATGGATACATATACCTTACAGTTTAGAACACAGTAATTTTTATATAGTGGTTGCTTATCAAATGCTTGCTGAATTTTTGCCAACTGCATCCTAAATGCCAAGAATCCTAAATGTTATGGGCTTATTCTAGTCATACAAAAAGCATTTCCTCCTGAATTCAAATTTTAATACTGAGAAAGTTAATTTCTGGTTTGGGGTCACTTGGGGTATCTTTATCTGGCTAGGGGAACAGATATGAATTACTAAGTATGAGGAAATGTGTAGGGTGCTAATAGAATGAACAATGGTGGAAGTGAGAGGACCATCTTTAAGGGAAATCTGGCTTAGCTGATTTTATGCAGGCTGGACAGATTAAGGCAAGTACATCTTTAGTCCTAGCAACTCAGTAAGCTAAGGTGGGAGGATCACTTAGGCCTAGGAGTTTAAGACCAGCCTGGACAATATAGTGAGGCCTTGTCTTTGCTGAGGTGAGTGGATTGCCTGAGCCCGCGGGTTTGAGACCCACCTGGGCAACTTGGCGAGACCTCATCTCTATAATAAATCAAAAATTAGCCGGGCATGGTAGCGCGTGTCTGTAGTTCCAGCTACTTGGAAGGCTGAGGCAGAAGGATCGCCGGAACCCAGCAGGTCAAGGCTGTGGTGGCCCGGAGTGGCCACTGAACTCCAGTCTGGGTGGCAGAGTGAGACTCCAACTCAAAAAAAGAGCAAAATACAAAAATAAAAATAAATTAACCAAGGATAGTGGTGCACACCTGTAGTCCTAGCTACTCAGGAGACTGAGGTGGGAGGATCTCTTGAGCCCAAGAGTTTGAAGTTGCAGTGAGCTATGATCATGCCACTGCACTCCTGCCCAGGCTACAGAGCAGATCCCATCTCAAAAGAGGAAAACAAAAAGACCTATCTGAATGTTCATCAACATTTAGACAGACCCTGTGGTTCACCTGCTAAGAACCTAGTGGAGGGTAGCATACGTTATGTTGCCAATAACTGTTGATGAATGCATGGATGAGCTGTAACAATTAAATCAAGCCATATGCCTAGGCCTGCAGTTTGAGATGCCATTTAAAGCCCATATCCATTTTCTCCAGCAATTCTTTCTCTCACTTGTGGATGAGATCTAGATTTGGGAAATGCCACCGATTAGATGTTCTATTCAGCCCCCTTGAGAGTGGGCAGGCAGTGGGAGGGAGAGCCAACTTCTGGGCAGTTTTCCTGCTACTGCAGGCTCTGTATTACTGGAGCATCAGTTGTTTGTCATTAGTGAGAGCTCAGAGAATCTTAAATGTGAAGATAACACAGGAGAGAGCTCCCAAAATATAATGCGTTCAAATTAGGTAGCATCTTTATTTAGTGTGTTAGTTCCAGGCATTCACTGCTTTACTGCCTCTCAAAACATGTAGCCCAGAATTACCATGTCCCAAGGGCTATTCATTGGTACTCTGCTGACTTGGAGGTATAGCACTGTCTTCTCCTAGAGTATGCATAGTAGAAGATAGCCCTATAGTAATTGTGCTTCATAAACACTGCTTATATAATTTCTATCACTTTCCCCGACCCCTCCACATGTTCTCCTACAGGACTGAATGGCCACGGAGTTATTTCTGATCAACGTCCTTATTATTTCTCTCTTGCCAGAAGGAGGGACATGTGAAGTGATAGCAGCACACCGATGTTGTAACAAGAATCGCATTGAGGAACGGTCACAAACAGTCAAGTGTTCCTGTCTACCTGGGAAAGTGGCTGGAACAACAAGAAACAGACCTTCCTGTGTCGATGGTAAGCAACTGGTTTTACCTCTCTCAAGATTTCATCTAGGTTCATCTATATATAATGTATTTCTTGTTTCATCTAAATAGGTTCAAGATAATGAACAAGGTGCAGCCAAAGTGCTAAAAAGTTCTACAAACGCCAGTCCTCAGAAAAGACTTTGAATTGTTGTTTCTCTGGTGCTATGGTTTAAATATCTTCCTCTCCAAAACTCATTTTGAAATGTGGTTGCCATTGTTGCAGTGTTGGCAGGTGGGACCTTTGGGAGGTGTTTGAGCCATGAGATCTCTGCACTTATGGGCAGGATTAATGTCATTATAAAGGGGTAAGTTTGTGCCTTTCTTCCACTCTTTCTCCTCATTCCATCATGTGAGGATGCAGCAAGAAGGCTCTCACCAGATGCCGACACCATGATCTTGTACTTTCTAGCCTTCAAAACTGTAAGTCAATAAATTTCTCTTCATTATAAATTACACAGTTTCAGGTATCCTATTATAGCAGCACAAAGCACTAAGACTTCTGGCTTTGGGGTTTTAAAACAGATCTGTTTTGAAATTTTTTAGAGTGGAGAAAGGTAAAGAAATTTCTACAGGTCAAGAAACTAGAGAATCCAGCTCATTTGGAAAATGATTTTCTTCCTAGGCTATGTAGAATGATGATGGTGATAATGATAGTAAAGATATCAATACCTAACATTCATTCAACAACTATGCAACGAGCACTTACTATATACCAGGTACAAATCTAGATGCTTCAGAGGAATACCAAGTCTAGACTGTCACCTTTAAGACACATTTATAGGCTACTGTCAAACAGTAAGTCCATGGTTCACAGGGACATCAAATCTGTCTCCCCATCTTTATCTTTCATAATTTAGATCTTGGTGTGAGTTGATTTTCAAATTCTTTAGTTAGGAAATAAGCACTAAAAGAAATGAGCCTTTTGCTCAGAATTACAGAACAGGATCTTAGACAATGAATCTCTTGGCTTAGTGTTTTGTTCTTCCTCTAGATATTGATGGGAAGAGATGCCTTCTAGATTGGCTCATGTTGTGTATTTTCATTATGGATCAGTAGGTGGTTAGAAAGAAAAACATACTCAAGCTAGGCCAAGTAAAAGGGAAGTTATTTTAATAAAATAGAGGAATCTCAGTGAACTAATTATGAGAAATTCAGCCAAACCTCATGGGATTTGTAAATTCTTCAGGCAGCTGTCATATTGGATTTTGTATTTATGGAATACAGTAGTTCTGATCTCTGTTTACCTCACTTGCCACTGTGTGGACTGTTTTTCTTTTCAAGGATTTCATTTTTACTTTCTCATAAATTAGGGGTTGGTGTAGGGCCCTTATTTCCACAATACCAACTCTGATTTCACTCAGCAAATTGGTAGAGTTTCAGGGCCCAAATATGTTTTACTCAGTCCCTGTTCTTAATATATTTTCTGAGAAGACAGAGTAAGTTTGGCCCAGCTTGGGTCAATGCATCAACCTTTGCCCTATCAGCCGCAGGCAAGGCTGCAAGCTTATGTAGCATGCACAGCTTCCCAGGTTGTACCATGGGGAGGTCAAACTAATTTTTAAAAATTGTAAAAATTGTGAAGAAGCCAAGTTTGAGAATACACTGGGATTAGTGGTTCTCAATTGGAGCAATTTCCCCCTAGGTTCATTTGGTAATTAATGTCTGAGGATATTTTGAGTCTAAACATTTGTCCCACCTAGGGAAGTGCTACTGTCATCTAGTGGGTAGTGACCAAGGATTCTACTGAACATCCTACAATGCACAGAGTGAACCCCCATCCCCCCTCCCTGGAATCCCTGCTACCAACAAAGAATTATTCAGCTCAAAATGTCAGTGGTGCTGAGGTTGAGAAACTTGCACTATGACTATTTGCTTATTACATCACAGTCAACACTGTGAGGCACCTCCAGTGAAGGGAAGGCAGGCAGCTAGACCAGAAAATCCATTTTACCTTCTTACAGGAAGAAACTCTTAGACCTAGAGCCCAAGAAACATAAAACATAAAACCATGATGGTTCCTCTGTTTGTTGCCAAAGAAAGCATTGAAGCACTTCACCACCTAACCCTTAACTGTACCCCACAAAACCATAATAAAAAATACTGATTAATGGAAAAAAAATCTCCATTTTTTTATGCAATTTATTTTCATTTTTAATAATCTAGAAATAGAATTGCCTTCAGGTCCCAATCCCCACCACTACACAATATATTCGTGTAACAAATACACATGTGTGCCTCCTGAATCTAAAATTTTTAAAAAGTAAAAATTTTAAAAAAAACCAAAAAAACACAGAATGCTGTGCATTGGCCAAGGGAGTAATGACCAAGGGAGCATCTGGCCTTAAATTTGTTTGAGAAGTTAAAACACATAACAGTAATATTTTTGTTTCAGAACAAGTTTGTTTGACTTTAAACCCTGAGCACTTTGGTGCGGTTGGTTTAAACAAGAGGGTCATAGTCTCTATCTTCCAAGCAAAAGTCAATAAAACATAGAGTATCCTGTATTTTCAAACTGATTATTTGTATTTTTTATTATGTCCTACTGCCCCAAAAGCTTTAAATCCATTGGCATGCATGGACAAGTCTACATGTTGCGATGATCAAAATTATTTTTGTAGCCTAGATCTCTACATACAAACTAAATATAAATTTTGGTTATAAATTAAAATGTCAATGCAGTTAGTAACATTATGGACTGAGAAATTAGATACACATGAGTGGAATCTCAGCTATAACTATTGCTAATAGAATGGCTTTGGGCAAATCAGATTTGCTTCCTGACTTCGGTTTCCTCATCTATAAAATGGGAATAATAATCATTTCTATTTTATAAAGATTAAGAAAATCATGTGTATAATTTCATTTTTTTGCATAAAGTCTGGCTCCCATCAAATCTCACTAAACAATGATATCCAATTTCTACCTTACTATGAATGTGAATGATGTTTTGGGAGAGACATTGTTTTTTATGAAGTTTTGTTTCATATTAATTGAACACAGTGGGACCTTGTCCATTATCTTTTCTTAAAACTGCTTCCAACTAATTATTCTGGGTATCACTAATGTTATTAAATCATCTTCAGGAATGCATATTTATTAAAGGAGTTTTGAAAAATACATAAATACATACATATATTTAAATCACCCATAATATCATTGCCCAAAGATTATCGTCACTTTGAAAGATAACATGTTAGTATGTGTCCTTCCGGGCTCAGTCCTCCACTTAAGAGCAAATACATATTATAGGTGATTGAATTAAAATGTTGTAGCACTGTTTTCTGTATGGTTTATTTCATTTAATATATTATGAACATTTTCCAAGTTATTACATATTCTTCAAAAAAATTACTTTAAATAGCTATGTATCCTCTCCTCTTTGGCATATTTGCAATGCTTCTTGCATTCCCCAGTCTCAGTTTCCTAAGAAAGAATAGGCATCAACTTCTCTCCATGACAGAAGTTGACAGTTTATACACCATGTTTGTCCTAAACAAATTCTGTCTTACATAGCAAATGTTCCACGGTAAGTGTTCCAATTGCTCTTATTTGTTTCCTCTGAAATTGTAGGTCAGTTGAATTCTACAGTGTTTTCAAAAACAGAGGAACAGCTATGATTTTAAAAGAAGCATATGATTTTTAAGATTCAGAATCTGAGACCAGATCATTTTTAATGGGACAAAAATGGGGGTAAAATCTTAGCAACATATTCAAAAATATATATTTGAAGAAACATATAAGTGGAAGTCTTTTATCTCAAAAATTAAATTCTATTAACTAATAACTGAAAACACTAAAACATACATTTAAATTATGGCGTAGTCATTTGTAAATACTCATAAAAACATCATACCCTTACAAAAGCATTATAGACATGCAACTAGTACTATTCTGAAGGAATATATCATTATACTCTAATTATTACTTTATTATTCTATTGCCCAAAATGAGTGAGGGGAACACCCTGCTCAATATCTTTCATTGAGAAAAACTAAAAATATAGTGTACAGCCTTTCAGTTATCTCCAATTACTTCTCAAGGACTAAAAGTTTAAATCAAATAAAGATTTATACAGAAGATAATGATGACTCAAAATATAACCATTTATTTAAGAGAAGAATTAATAGGTCAGGCACAGTGGCTCACGCCTGTTTTACCAGAACTATGGGAGGCTGCAGCAGGCGGATCCCTTGAGCTCAACAGTTCTATGCCAGCATAGGCACTATAGTGAGACCTCGTGTCTATAAAATAAAAATTAAAAAATTAGCCAGGCATGGTGGCACCTGCCTATAAAATCAGCTACTCAGGAGGCTGAGGCAGAAGTATCACCTGAGCCCAGGAGGTCAAGGCTGCAGTGAGCTATGATCACACCACTGCACTCTAGTCTGGGTGACAGAGTGAGACCGCAACTCAAAAGAGAGAGAGAGAGAGGAATTTTTCCAAGTATGACATAAAACAAAAATAAATTTGTAGATGGTTTTTGAAGTTATAGTCTATGATTCTAATTGTTCTAAAATGGCATAAAAATAGTATAAATTTTTAAATTTTAAAAATAATGGAATATAATTAAAATAAATAATAAGAACAATTTTTAAGACTTATCTTGTGTCATATTTCCAAGTACTTTGATTTTACACATTTGTTTAATTGTAACCCCAACCCTGTAAGATGTGTCCTCCTATCATTTCCATTTCACTTATCAGGAAACTGAGGCACAGAGAGATTCAGTGACTGGCTCAAAAATCACACAGCCAGTTGCAACTGAGCCAGAAGATCAGCCTGGGCTGTTGGACTCTGGGGTCTCTCATTCAGCAAGCACCAGGCAAACCAGTATTTAACCTAAGACATGTGTTAGGTCCTAAAGGTTTTCTTGCATGATGCAAAATATCTGAATGAGAAGGGGAAGTCCAACCATGTGGATGCTTACAGAAACATCCAATATGCCCCTTCTCTTTCTATGTCATAAAGATGATTGAGTGTACTTCCTTA